GAGTAGGAACAGAAGAAAAAAGTAACTTTAAAATGGAGAAATGTTAGGAGATAATGAAGCTAGAAATAAATGGAAGAACTCAGATGAAATTACAGCTAGAGCAATGAGAAACAAGAATGATCATTCAAAGGAAAACCTTGATGGCCAGCCTTGATCTTTGTTTAATGTTTAGAAAAGGGGTTGTCTTCACGCTCTGCTTTCAGAGTTTGTAGCTGTGTATTGAGAAACTGCTGCTTCAGATCATGTCAGAAGCAAAACAATGTCTGGGCAGTAAAGTTATCCTCTTGATCCTCAGCTAGAATAAACTTGCAGATATCTAGTGAATGTAGAGTTGTGGCAACTCACTCTGCCTGAGGATCTAAGGCAGCAGGGGCCTCACCTCACCGGATTGAACGTGTTGACAGGACAGCAGTACTGGAGTGTATGTACAATGGTCTATTTTGATCTCCAATCTAAACAATCAGATCAAGGGCCTGTTCTTAAGTGCTACACCTGATTTTTCCCTGTATTAAAACAAATACTATAGCAGAAGTCAATTTTTAAGGTATATGTTGAGATCCTGAGCCATGCAGTTCCTTGTCTTGCGTCTGTGGTTTCTTTTTCTAGAGTGAATGTTACAGAATCTTGCTGTTAAGGCCACTGTCACACACTGACAGCAGCGACAGGAGTCAGAGGCTCTCTGCAACTCCTCCAGATCTCGTGAGCCATAGCTGAGCAGCTTCTTCAGCAAGAGAGCTGGGAAGTAAGGGATACAAGGATCAAGAGTTTCTTTTCACTGTCTCCAGATAAACATATGTCAAACCTATGAATAATCCAAAGTAAATGAAGTGACCTACATTAATAATACTGCAGATCATTTATGTGTACATCCAATAGCACATGCTACCCAGAAAGATCCCCCAAGTCCTTCAACTATCCTGAATTTAAAAATCTTTATTCTATACTTGGAAGCAAAATGTTCAAATGCACCTATTTTTTCTTCTGATGAAATCCTACAACTATTCTCTTTTGAAGTTTTGGGGTTTCTAAGCTGAGAGAGAGCTGAAGACTTCATGATTTGATGCTCAGGAATTAACACCTAACAGTGCATGATTATCTCCTCAGCCCTGACATTTGAAAAATCTCCACAAAGCTAGTTTTAATATCGCAGAAAATAGACCTTGCTCACTTTTCTGCAGTAGAGGATATTCTTCCAAATTGGGTACTTTTGACACTGACACTTAATGTTTCTGTACAACCTCTTTTTGCCTCTGGTCTTTTTTGGTGTCTTTAATAAAGGCTTTTTGATTGTTCCTGCCTGTTTGTACACAATATGATGACATTCTGTTAATGTATCTCCGGTTATATCCAAGATGTCAAAAGTGTTTCCTTCATAATGTACTGGCAGAGCATGAAGAACTATATTATGCACTAATTTCATTTAGCATTTTCATCATGATGTCATGTTAATAAATCTTGCTGATACCAAAAATATACGGGCATTGTTGGTACAGAGTGTATGAACATTATCTGAAAATAATCAGATATCACCGAATTCTATAGTATGGGAAAATGAGTGAAATTTTAGAGTACAGAACTATTTTGAACTCATCATCACAAGTTTCTTTTCTAAGCTAAGAGCTTATCAATGGATAATGGCACAGAGGAAAAAAACTCTGGGCATATTAGCTCAAGATATACTGAAACTGAAATAAATGCAGAAGATAATGGGGAGGGGGAGTGAAGAACCAGCCATAAGATCGGTTTTGTTAAACATAATTTGTTTAAGCCTTGAAAAATTAAAGTCTGGGAGAGTTTCTGTGATTATTCTCTATGAATTCATTGGAGGGCTAAACTCCCAAAATGAGAAAGAAACCTACCTCAGATCTCTCCAACAGCAGCAACTGCATGGAAGCCCTTCCAGAAAATATATTGGGGATCTGCCTGTGCAGATCTGCGGGGATCTGTGCTGGCCTGGAGCTAGGGAATGTCTTCAGGTTTCCCCAGCATTGCGTTATCTACATAACATTGATCTGATCTGCACCTGTTTCCCTGGCTTCTCCCCTGGGAACGAGTCTGAGGAATATGGTGTTTTATTTTAAAAGAATAACACACACTCATGTGTTCAGGCATGGCTTGGCACTCATTACTTCTTCTTTACATTAAAAGGGGAAAAGCCTAAGGAATTGTACCTTCCACTCTAGGCAGAAGATTCATGATGACTCAGAGAATCTGTCTGACAGTCTGGGACAGGCTCCTGAGAGTGCTGTTTCCTATCTTAGCAATGTGTTGTTGATCATGGCCATGAGCCCACAGCTTTATCTGATCTTTCAGATCCTCTAGGCGTGGTGTATCTTAAGGTCCAAGGCCTAGAAGGCAATTGCTTCTTTTATGAAAGCCGGTGCAGAGGCTGGAGCGTAGTACTTGGGGTAGCCGAGGCTGAGAAGATGTGCTGCAGTGTTCTCTCTCCTACAGGGTCTCTGTCTCCTGGGGTCTACTGAGAGCTTCAGACTTCTTCTCTTGGTCTACCGCACTGCTGTAGTGCCCCTGAGTGGTGGTGAGGACATGAACGATTGGGTTGGAGTTTGCCAGCATAGGCCTGAAACTGCACACCAACTACAAACTGCTGCTGTTACAGAAGATCTTATTTTCACAAGAAACCTGAATGTTGTGAGGCCAGTTATTGATTTGCTGGGAAGAGTAGTTTGGGTTGTGATGCTGAGAAGGAAGTCGTCTGCTGCCTCTCTGCTTTAGACCCTCTGCACACACCAAAGTGAATTCGTGTAAGGGCACTTGCACAGACCTTCATCTTGGTCAAATGGCCAGGATAGCAAGACCTGATAAAATAGGAATGTGAATGTAAACAGCTCTGTGAATTGAATACCTGAAACTGTCTGAGAGGGTGTTTACACCAAACCCACCATTGTTAAAGAGCAACATGCTCACCAGCTTAACAGTAACCAGGGAATTAAAGGTTTTTGAGACAGAGTCAGTCTGAAAGCAAAGTTTAGAAGAAGCAAGACATTTTTAGCAAAGAGAAGAGGGAGAAGTGGGAAGGAAGCGCCAGTCAAAACCTGGTTTGAAGTTGCCCTGCAACTTTACAACCTGTCTGTAAAAGAGCATCCTTCCTGCTGGGTGCTGTGGGTAGCCTGCATTCCTGGCAGTAAAGGGTGCAACATCTAGACACCCACAACTTCAGCGTGCATATGTGACCTTGTGCTTTCTCACTGGCCTGTGGGTTAGCAGACTGTAGGAAGTGGGTACACATGAACCCTACATCTCCAGCAGCATGAGAATAGAGGAATCCCTGCTACCAGAAAAGGGGATGTGTTCTTGCAGCCCACACTTCATGTGATGAGGGTGCATTGCACAAATAATAATGTGAACGTGTGTCTGTCTCGGGGTTAGAGTTTTGGGGGATTAGTTACATAACGATGTTTAGAAATGTACAGGTGTTTATTAATATTTCGTGTCTGGTATTGTGCTTTATCTGTTGGACTGCTCATATTGATCCTCGATATACAGGTTATGGTTTGTCAGTTAATTAGATGTCATGAATAAATCAGTAAAGTGCTTAGATCTCTCCTGATTAGATTTAACCCCCCTGAGCACATTTTCCTTCTGACAGTTTTGTACCCTCTGCATGATCCTCTTATGAGGAAAGGCTGAGAGACCTGGGTCTGTTTAGCCTGCAGAAGAGAAGACTGAAAGGGGACCTCATAAATGCTTATAAATATCTAAAGGACATGTGTCGAGAGGAGGGGGCCAGACTCTTTTCAGTGGTGCTCAGGGACAGGAAAAGAGGCAGTGGACACAAACTGGAACACAGGGAATTCCATCTCAACACAAGGAAAAACTTCTTTACTCTGAGGGTGACAGCACTGGAACAGGCTGTCCAGAGAGGTTGTGGAGTCTCCTTCTCTGGAGATACTCAAAACCCGCCTGGGTGCATTTCTGTCCAGCCTGTTCTAGGTGAACCTGCTTTGGCAGGGGAGTTGGACTAGATGATCTCTGAAGGTCCCTTACAACCCCTACCATTCTGTGATTCTGTGATACCTTCTATGACAGTACCAACAAGCACATGTATGGACCATCTTTCCAACACAACGGAGTCATTGGGTGGTTCAACCCTGCCTGCAGCCTGTTGTGCATGAAAAAACATACTCAGAGGATATTTTCTGCACACAGTTTAAGCTTGTCTGCGTTTGTAACCAGCTTTGTGTGCTGCTTTTTTGAGTCTTCAACTGATGTGCTTGCACTATTGTTAGCTCTCCATTCCTTCCTCCGTCCGCCTGTGCATGCCCCTTCACAGGGAGAAACTAGCTGATGGAACATGGAAGAGCAAAGGCTGCATACCCACCCCAGTCCATTCAGAGTACAATGAGACCTAGTGGAGATTATTTACCCTTAGGGGTATCCTTAGGGACACTTTATCCTGCAGGGTTTTGAATCAAGCTGCCTTGAGCAGTGCTAGAAGCACCATGTCTGGCTGTACCTGTTGTAGTCATGACCAAGTAAAACTTCATGATCTGTAATGGACAGGGTTTCTGGCACTGTCTAGTGATCCCTTCTGACCTCCAGCTCCATAATGACAGGTCACATGCAACCCCTCCACTCAAAGCTCCATTGTCTTTTCCTGAGTAATTAGTTAAAAACAGTTCTTGGTTCTGCTCTGAGGTACTGGGCACAGGCTTCACGATGAGACTTGCCCAGGACTAGGTCACAGATATGCTTTCCTGTTTCTTTCTGACTCGCCTTTGCAGGACATCGTGAGTGGGTTTAATCCTTTACTAGCAAATACCAGCAGTATAGGCATTTTCACATATACATACTCACTCACCAGGGAAGAACAAACACCAAAGAGGTCAGCCAGTAGTATATGTCAAACTGCTTGAATGTGTGCAAAAGGAGGTTGTTTGAACTAGACGTGCTACTCTTCATCCGTTTTAATTTGCATCTGTGAGTTTCTGTGTTGCAACGAGCATCTTGTGAAATGTCCTGGCAGAGAAACGGTGAAAATTCCCCCATCACCATGTGTTGTGGGGAACACCCAGGAAACAGCATTTTGTGCACACCAGATTAGAGGGCAGTGTGTGAGCTGCCCTGGTGCAGTCTTCTGTGTGAGACAAAGCCTGTACTCATGGCCATGTTGGCAATGTGGACTCTTGGTGGAGAAGAGTGATACTGCAGTAGAGATAATGAATCGCCGAGGGAGAGTCAGTTCTGGAACTGCAGGTAACCACAAAACTTTCCTTTCTGTCCTGGAGAAGAAGGAGGAGGTGGGGGAAAATCCAGGGCCGGGATAGAGAATGGCATGGTACAGTGGCTCTCATAGCAGGAGAAGGGGCTTAGGACAAGAGCAAAGGAACAGATGAGGGAATTGGGGAGTGCCTGGGCTGGGAGAATGACCTTTTTCCCAGAGGCAGGGGGAATAAAGTCCAAGCAAATTATGGTCTACCATCCTCTTCAGTGTTGTTTCCATAAACAATGAGATTGAAGAGCACTATCTTACTGTCATCGTCAGGTAAAACTGTCTGCATCAAGCTAACACAAGTCACTGCTCCCATCTCCTGGTGTCTCTAAGGAGAACCAAGCGAGGGCTCTTCCAAGAGCTTCAAAGTGCCATTCTCCCTTTGGAAATGATCTCTTCTGTGTGTCTGCCTCTGCAAACACTGATCCGGGCAGCCACTCCTTTGAGTAACTGTATTGCTATTGAATAAAATGACTTAGGGGATAGAGTCAAAATAAAGGTAGCTGAGAGAAAGAAGATCTAAAGAGAGATGAAGAGGAGGGAGCATTCAGTGGAGGACAGGGGAGGGCAACAAGGAAGATGTGTTGGGGAGAAAGGAGATGTGACAGGACAAAGAAAGAACAGGGCTTGTGATAGAAAGTGAAATAAAAGAGCAGCTTCAGGGCAGCCCCCTATTCTGTGGGTCTGACCCACTGCTAATGACAGGCAGCAGGACCTGGTTACAGCAGGATGTGGGTACAGCACCTGTGGGGCTCCCCAGGCCTTGGAACGAGGGTACCAGCAGGCTGTTGGGGTACTGAGCTATCTGGGTTATCCTGTCCCTGACTCTGGGCTTGGGGATTCCCACTCTTCCCTTGTGTTTTTCAGCCCCAGCAGAAGAGAGAAGCTGCTCCTGGCTGAACCCCTGGGTCTTCCTTGTTTCTGTCCTTGCCATCAAAACTGCCTTTGTAACCATCTGCTGCTTCGGTGGGTTCCAGGGTCTCTTAATTCCTCTGGGATGAAGGGAGTCATTGGCTGCTTTTTGTCAGATGGAAAGACAATATCCTAGTCTGAGTCAGCAGGCGAGTGCCCTTTGCCAAAACAGCCTGTTCTGCTGCCCCTCTCCCCGCTCTGTCCTCTTAGTCAGGGAGTAGGGTCCCTCCCACCGTTGAGGTTTGTTCCCTGGCAGGGTCTTCTCTCTGCTCCTCTCACTTTCCCACCTGCTGGATAAAGTCAGTTCTGGATGAAAACAGTCAGTTTCTCCCCTTCTACCAAGAGCTGAGAAGTGTCTTTTGTATCAGAGAGCATCTAGGTAGCTTCGCTGAAGGCTGGCTGTTGGATATTGGTTCTCCTGACCTGGTATCTCTCTCTCTGAGAGCTCCCTGTGACAATGTTGGAACCAAAGTGCCAGTGTGATCTCCTTGGAAATACTGGTACCAGGGCTGCCCATATTTTAGCAAGGTAGGGGTAAATCCACCAAAATTCTCCAGCTGCATCCCAGCCACAGTGCCTGGAGCAATCACAAGGGAAATCCTTTGCTTGTACTGTCCTGGAGTATCCTATTGCTCTGTCATGACTCTTCCATGCTTCTTCCTAACTCCCTTGGGTGAAGCCTCAACACCCACCAGTTCTTGATAAAGGTAAAAAAGATAAGGAACTTTATCCTGCCACCTCCCTCTGCTCAGTCCTGCACCTCTTGTGCTTTTTCCAGGAGTTCCTCTTCAACTTGGTAAAAGGATAAAGGAACTTTATCACTTTTACCTTTTTGATAAGTGTAAATATTGTGCTCTAAAGCTGGAATGCCCAGGAAGACTAAGAGGGAATGCATATTAATGTTCTTCCTTTATTAAGCTTATCCCATGGTTTCTTTGACCCTTTCCTGACCCCATCTTCAAAGGATGTCTAAGCTGGTTTTGTCAGCTGGGAAAATGAGCCTCCCAGCCAGCAAAGGCGAGTGGAGCTCATCCCATTAATGCCTGTTCCAAAGGCATGAATGACCAACAGTGGAAGAAACAGCCTGCTGTTTCTCATCTCCTTGTTCAATACAGAGCTTGTTAACATAACAGAATCTCTGTGGGGGCTCTAAGCCAGAAGGTGGAGGATTGGACAGGTTCCTCATGAATGAGGAGGAAAGGATGACAGCAGCCCTTCTCTTCTTTTTCCTCTCTTCCCAGTTGTTTTCCTTCATGGAAGCTATGGCCAGTCCAAGACTCTGCTCCAGAATGCTACAGAGTGGTACTGCGTCTCCAACATATCTGCAGGTAAACGTAAGTGATGCTAAGAGCCTCATAAGCAACACTAAGAACCTCAACAAAATTTATTCCAGTGTCAGTCTGCCTTTGAGGTTGGGAATGTGGTTGTCAAACAGAGGTGGATTTTTTTAAGGAAGGAAGCCAGAGAGTTGAAGAAAGAAAATGCCGTATTGCACAATTTTATTTAGGATGCTATGAAAACATGTTCTGGGCCAGTGGAAGAGAATGGGTTGTTCCAGATCTACATCATGATTGTGAGGGGTCTGGAGCACAAGTCTTATGAGGAGAGGCTGAGGGAGCTGGGGTTGTTCAGGCTGGAGAAGAGGAGGCTGAGGGGAGACCTTATTGCTCTCTCCAACTACCTGAAAGGAGGGTGTAGAGAGGTGGGGGTCGGTCTCTTCTCCCAAGTCACAGGCGACAGGACAAGAGGAAATGGCCTCAAGTTGCGCCAGGGGAGGTTCAGGCTGGATATTAGGAAAAATTTTTTCACTGAAAGGGTTCTCAGCCATTGGAATGGGCTGCCCAGGGAGGTGGTTGGGGCACCATCCCTGGTGGTGTTCAAAAGACGGGTTGATGTAGTGCTGGGAGGTATGGTTTAGTGATGGTGATGCTTCTTGTTTGTTGTGCGGGTGTCTATTTTTGTCAGTCAGGTTGACGGTTGGACAAGATGATCTTTAAGGTCCCTTCCAACCTAGAAGATTCTGGGATTCTGTGATTTGATCACCCTTCCTACTCTTCCCCTCTCACGGGCCCTCACACAACCCCTCAACTGCTAATCTAGTGCACTAATCTAGCTGCAAGTGCTTCATCCTTCTGTAAGGGCTGGTTCAATCCAGCTCCACTCCCTCGCTGGCTCACTGCCTGTTTGCACAAGCATCATGGCCAGCCTGGGGGACAGAGGTAGCAGTGGTAGAAGGTTGTTGTTACACAGTTTAGAGTCGTTGGAGAGCTGGGCTGCAATCATACATGAAGAGATGGCAATGGCAAGAGTTCGAATTCCTGCAGTGCAAATTCCCAAACTCTGTTCAGAGATCTGTTGTCACCTGGGCACTGCATACAGAAGCAGGTTGTGGTTTCCACAGGGACTAACCCATACATGTTGAGGACATCTGAGCTAGCTCTTCAGACTCCCTTTACAGTCCATGATAAAAAGGTGTTTGCAGGGACAAAATAGACATGGTCCACCTATTGTTATGGTGGACATCTCTGGAAGGCCAGACAGGTTGTGTTCTACACAGGCTCAATTTGCTGTTTCATGGGAAAAAAGCCCTGCTTAGCTTCACGAGGCACAAGCATGCTCACCAAACAGCAGACAGACTCTCCTAATCAACACATTTAAGAATTCAGAAGAAATTGTCCAGCATCGCACAGTCATGTGGGAAAACTTTAGCTTTCATTGTGGAATTAGGAATGGCTTTTGCAGAGTACATGATGGCTACAGGCCATCCCTCAGCTGTGAAAGACCAGGGTGAGCAGCACAGAGATAGAGAGCTCAAAGTTCCTTAGGCTGCTTGAACTTGATTCTGCGTACTGTTTGATGCTCTCTCTAGTGCCATGGTGTGTCTTTCTACAAAGATACATAATGGTGTACCTTGAGTGGGTCTAATATATACGAGCACAGGTAGGTTAACAAAAGTTTTGCTAGCTGTTCCACTCACTGGACTCTATTCCCTCAGTTTGGTGCCAAGAATGGGATGGATGAGAGAGGAGATGGGATGGGATGGGATGGGATGGGATGGGATGGGATGGGATGAGATGAGATGAGATGAGATGAGATGAGATGAGATGAGATGAGATGATGAGATGAGATGAGATGAGATGAGATGAGATGAGATGAGATGAGATGAGATGAGATGAGATGAGATGAGAGATTTTGTGCTGTGAAGAAAGCTCTTGAAGGGCATAAGGTTATCTGGATCCACCTTGAATGAATATGATGTGTTTGTTTGCTATGGCTGGGCTGAAGCATTGGCTTGACCAGGGCATTGTCACTGCATGCAATTGCCTGAAGAGCTCCTGACTTGGGAAACCCAAGAAAAGAGTCCCTATGAGGTCTAAAATTCAGAGAAAACACCTAAGTTAGTACATACAAGGGTGCAATTGTTTGTTGTTTTTTTTTGGATGAACTTTTCAGCCTGATATATTCTATACAGAGATCTATTCAGAGTATTATATATACAGATCATAGATAGAGAGATGTAGTCTTAAAGCCTGTAGCCTCATGCTTTGAGAGAATATGTCTGTGTTTTTTAAGCCATCATGTGACTTTCTGGTTATAAGGCAGATCTCTAGGAAAACATGGCTAGTGTAGGAAACTGCCTGTGGTGGCAGCAAGACTGTCAGAGCAGTTTACTGTACATGTCTGTCAGTCTGCATGAGTCAAGAGCTAAACACTTGGACAACACTTCTCTGATGTAAGTGTTCCCGGAGGAGTGTGAGTCAACGACTTCCCATCTCAATTCCTCAGGAGGGACAAGGCAGAAACTGTGTCTCTCACTAAACAGAGGTTGCATGGACGTGGCAGAACAGACAGAGAAAGGGAAAGGCACTGCAGGCAGGGGCCTCGTGAAAGGAGCCTGTTGGATTGTTGATAGCTTTACTTGTGGAGTACAGAAGAGAGCATTTACCTCTGTGTAGATTAAAGACATGGTTCAAACCCCTCCCTGAACACCTGGGACCCTCCACTGAGCTCACTAAGATGAAGGACAGCACATCTTGTTCAAAAGCAAGTTTGTTTTTTTCCCCCACAGAGGAGGGCTGCGTGTACTGTCCAAAAGGCTGGAAACACTTTCAAGAAAAGTGCTATTATCTGTCAGCTGATAAAATGTCCTGGCCTGAGAGTGTGCAGAACTGCACTGGGATGATGGGCTCCCAGCTGGTGGTGATCAACAGCAAAGAAGAGCAGGTAGGTGCAGGGCTGAGGGAGGGGAACAGCAGCCAGAGACACAATGCCAGGTCTTGGAGGGGACTCAGATCCCCTCCTTGCTCCTGCAGGGGAGGGAGGATGTTCTTTTTGCACCCCTCCAGCACCAGCTCCCCTCCCCATCCCACAGGGATTCCTGCCGCCTCCCTCTGCTCAGTCCCACACCTCATGGACATTGTGCTTTTTCCAGGAGTTCCTCTTCAACTTGGCGAAAGAAGTATCTACTAAAGCCTTTGAAACAAAGTTCTACATAGGCTTAGCTGCTTCTGAAAGTGGGCAATGGCAGTGGGTGGATCAGACTCCCTATAACAAGGCAGCCACGTGAGTATCCCAGAGGGAGTGAGGAAGGTCCTGTTACTCACACCCCCGCAGTCAAAGTGACCAATACCCTATGTAAGGCAGGTATGTGTCAGAGAGGGGTCCCTGTCCCTAACTGCACTGCAAGTCAGAAAACTTGACTAGTTTTCTAGTCAAAAACTTGACTAGTCTTCCTTGCCAGAGCTCCTGATCTCTGTTAAGGTAATCTTCCCCTTTCTCTTCCACAGCTGCTTAGGTGGCTTCGCTCCCACTGTCATGCATGCCAGTGTGTTCCAAATAAAGGAACTTTCTTTTACAGGTTCTGGAAACCCGGGGAACCCAATTTACTCTTTGCAGAAAAGTGTGCTGCAATTCATGTCAAGGGAAAAAGAGACCCCAACACTTACAGTAACTGGAACAACGTCCTTTGCTTTACAAGTTGCTATCGAATTTGTGAACTGACAGTCAAATATGTCTGAGGAAGGAAACTCCACTTTGGATGAAGGACCTGAAGGAGTATCCTTGAAAAAGGGCAGCTCATGAAAGAGCTGAAAGAAAGCTGGCCGGAGCCCACACAAATGCTTTGTTTTGCAAATTAGGATGAGCAAGTCTGCCATAGAATCCCAGCTCTGAAGGACCTCAGTTCCCAGCCTGTGCCCCTGTAACTCTTTCCAAGCTGGAGATCAGTCCTGGATAAAATCACTCAAACTGATTTCAAGAACCTACTGCACCTCTTTTTACCTTCTCAGGTGGGTGGCCTGATCCTCCAATACTTTCCTTGACTCCTTGCCCAGTTGATATCTCAATGATGCAGAAAAAGCCTTCTCTGTTTCATGAAAGGTTACTGGTCCTACAAATCACTGGAGCAGACAGTGGAGTGTGCCTGGCCCACCCCTAGAGGGAACAATTATTCATGGCTTGTCTTTAATAGTTCCTTCTTCCTTCAGCATATTCTGTGTTGATAAGTTAAAAAAACCCCACATCAATAAATGTTAATCCAGCTCTTTGTATGAGGCTGTCTTTTGAGTGACAAGTCCCAGCCCCTTGCCAACCCAACCTCTCTGCATGGAGGTTTTAACTTTTCAGTGTGTTCAGTGAGAGTATTATTGTGAATATGTTGGACTGGCCAGGAGCAGAAGCAACCTGGTGTTCATCTGCAGAGCGTGTGAGAAAGGCCATGAACCCTGTTGGAGAATCACGTGTGAGGGAAGCAACAGAGCAGGCTGTGTAGTAGTCAGTGCCAACAGCTGCTTATAGAGGATGCAGCAGAAAGGTGATGGATTTTGGGGATCCTGCTGAGACATGTGGCAGGATTAAGCATGGCAATGGAGGGGAAGAGAAAGCAACCAAATATCACACGAAGGATAACAGCCAGAGTCACAGAATCACAGAATGATATGGGGTTGAAAGGGACCTCTGGAGATCATCTAGCCCAATCCCCCTGCTGAGTCTCCCCAGCAGGGATTTCTAATGTGAGAAAAGAGTAGAAGACCACTATTGGAGACATCTGCAATGATGTCTCAAGGCACACAGAAGTCTTGAGCAAGTCCTCTGCTTCATTTTATCCAAACCTCTGTCTATATATTCTTCCCCTTTCATCAATAATATCCATATTTCTGAAGATCTGGGAGATTCCAGTTGGGAATAAAAATACACCCTGAAAAATTAGTTCTGGACGATTATTTTTTTTTTAATTAATCAAAAATCTGAGCACAAATTCATGTTATTTTCACCTGAGGCCATGCATTTCCCACATTTCTGTTTTAGCCATTGGACCAAAAGCTTGGCTGTTGCAACATCTTGGCCTCCTATTTTCTGAAGTTGCTGGAATCTTTTCACAATGGAGAAAACTTGGTTGTCCCGTCCAACATGATAGCAAACAAAAACATTGTAATGGACTTCTCTTTTTAATTTCCCCCAACTCAGTTCTGGAAACCGCAGCAGTGGGGTTTTTGAGGAAGAAAAAGGGGTAGATAAGGCAGACAGGGAGTGGCTAATGTTTTACAAGAGGTTTTAGAAGCAGCTGCAGTTCTGATTACTGAGATGTGGTATGGTGGAGAGAAAAACTCACACCAGAAGACTGGTTTGCAAGAAAACTTAACTTGCTAGAAACAGTTTCCAAGCCTCAGATTTGGAATGTAAAGTTTTTCTTTGGATCCTTGGAGATGATACTAGGTTTGCCTGCAGAATTCCTGAAGGGAAGCTCCTGATCCCATCTCCCTGCAAACACACACACATACACACACAAGTGCAAACCAATTCTCTTACATTAGTTGTACAAAAAAAGCAAATGAAGTTAGACAGAGGAATTGGTCCCAGTCCCTGCTTTGTGCAGCCACTGTTGAAGGAGAAGTGGTGAAACTGAGCAAGAGTTCCAGCCATGTCTCTGAGTAATGTCAGTGCCCTTGACTAGACCACCCCAATGGCAGCATTCAGGGTTTAGGCAGAATAATGCGAAAGCCTTCCTCTCTGTATTCCTCTCAATGTATTCCTCTTTGATACAGATTTGTCTGAAAGAGGTAACTCTCCAACATATGAGAAACAGGCACTATGCCTCAAGTCTGCCTTGATTCAGGAGGCAGCAGATTTCATAGCAAGAGGCCAAGGTGAAGGTATACAGTCAAATACAGTACTTTCAGAAAGCTTCAGAAGGACAACCCCTGCATATTGAACCAGGAGGTTGGGTGGAAAGGACAAAAAGTGTACCAGATTAGCACACTTCATGATGGCATCTGCAGTCCTTGTTTTCAAGTTCGCATCCTGGTCACACCCCAGCCACCTGTCAGAACAAGACCTGGATGCTCACCACTCCTTGGCACGTTAACTTTTCCTTTGGAGAGGAACTCAGGTCTGAGGATCGGGAAGAGGCCACAGTGACATTCACTTCTGACCATACATACACTGAAGACATGGTCTGACTGCAGCGAAAAAAGGTTCTGTTGTGGTTCAGACTTGAGCTAGCTTCTGGCTTTACTCGGGAACCCCTGTGATGCCCAGTCTTTGAGATACTGTCTCCAGCTGGAAAAGTGTCAGAAGAGCCATACTGGAGTGACAGCCTGGGAATACACCTCATACCCCTGCATATTGCTCCTTTCTGCACAACCAGTTCTCCCCACTCCCTCAATCCTAATCTGCAAGTCTTAGAAATTTCCCAGTAGGAAACTTGTTGTGGGGAAGGTGATGGTGTGCCCTGCTGGTTTTGTCCCACCTGCTTGGATAGCAGACTAGGTAGAAAGGGAAGTTGGTTTCCTTTCAGCTGCTGGTAAGCACTCTGTCCAAGTTAGAGAGTGGCATAAGGGAACAACTTTCCTCTGAAAGGGCTTGCATTAGGTAGGATAAGCTTCCTACCGAACTGGAGTTGCTACAAGAAGAATCATGATTTGTACCATGCTACAGTATGTTACTGAAAGTAACCATCATAGAATCATAGAACGGCTTAGGTTGGGACAGACCTTAAAGATCATCTAGTTTTAACCTCCTGCCATGGGCAGGGACACCTCCCACTAGATCAGGTTGCTCAAAACCCCATCCAGCCTGGGCTAGATATATGACACAGGGGGGAAGTGGTAAATTGTGCTGTTCTGCCCACAACTAGAGCATTGGGCTTAGCCAGAGCCAGAGGGGAATAGGGGAAGTCTGAGGCAAAGTAAGAAATATAGTGAAAAGAAATCTGTAAGTAGGACCTGTGAGGAGAGATGAGGCTTGGCAGTGTGAAAAAGCAGTCGGAAGAGGGGAGAAGCATCTTAGCCACAGAGAACACAGAGGTCATGTTCCCACCAGCGGACACAGGAGGGAGGACATTAACTCTAATAGCAGCAGAGAAGGATTATGTTCTACATGATCATGATCTACATGGCTATCCTGTGAGGCTGGAGAGGACAGGAAGGGGAAAGGTGGCTATTTTCCAGCACTGCGCTTCTCCAGTTCCCTGATACCACCACGAGTCTCTGCCAACCACCACTTTCTGACACGACTTCGTGTTGCCGTGCGTTACTGACAGCATTCTGTGGGATGACGTCAGATCCCTACAGGTGTCAATACTACACTGGTGAGAATACCCTCGTCAACGAGTGGGGATGGCTAGTTTCCAGAAAAGGACTCCAGACTCTTCCCACCTGAGATTACGTGGTTGCACAACATCAGGCAGTTGTAAACCCCAGGAACTTGGGCACCCAAGATGGACCAGGCAAGCAGGTGCCCGAGCCAGCTCCCAGGCAGACCTGGGGGTCCGAGAGACCAGAAGTCTTGGCCTCCTACCAAAGAGATCTTTTTCTCTTTGTTTCTGGCCTGAGACAGAGTACAGGGGGAGGCATGGGTCAGCTGTGGACTGACTGAATGACTAAGCCTCACTATTTATATGTAAGTCCATATTACATATATGTAAACAGGTATTTTTTTCAGAGAGGGGAACAGGATCAGTCTGCTCCTGCTGTTTATGTTTGCATCAGTGCTTTCTGTCTGTGTTGACCTGTCTGGCTGCAGACAGGAGTCTTTTTCTTCTATATGTGTATGTATATGTACATATACGCTCAGTCTCACTACCTGCTGGAGCTGGGGACCCGGAGGGGCAGCAGCTTTGCCTCTGCTGGGCTGTGGGATTGAGCCAAATCTCCTGAGCAGCTTGTCTCCAGTACAAATTCTCCTCTCTCTCTGGGACCCAGAGAGAGGATTCACTTCCACAGGTAGGACAGAGCCGCACCGCCAGGAGATGTACACCATTGTTGTGTGGGGAGCTGGCACTCTTTGGTCAGGAAAGCTCAGGTGGGTGATGTTTCTCGAGGTGGGGGCACAGGGGCCAGGAAATGGGAATGGATGGAGAAAAGGTGTGATGCACAGAGGCGTATGGTCTGCAGCAGGACACGAAGGCAATGCACTTCTGGTAGGCACCTCATGTGCAGCAGCAGCTCTGCCCCTCTGCTGCATGGTCTCACCTGGCCTGTTGGCCTCCCAGGAAGGCTGCTACATCAGGTGAGCCTGGGATCAGCTCTGAGTTGGGAAGAGGAGCTCTGCCTCGAGGTGGCACCGAAGGCCCCAGCCATTTTTCCGCTGGGGACAGTCCCACCTACTTGGTCAACCATGTGGAGCTCAGACTTCTGGTGGAAGCTCCCATTACCCTCCCAGGAAAGACTTTCAGCCATGGAAACAAACACTCATAACATCCCTAGTGCTGGTCTCCTGTGCCCAGCCCCCTCCAGAGCTTTGGCTGTGGGCTATAGGTCTGTGTAGCCACCTTGTCTCTCATTAGGGGGATGTAACCTGTGTTGCAGCAGTTGGGTAAGGCTCTATCCTGGCCTGGCAACATCTTCTGATCCTGCTTATACAAACACCTGCGGCTTAGAGTTGGGGGGAAGAGAAATAGAGAAAAACAGAGAGAGCGAGCACACAGGCTTTTTCATTGTTCTAATATTGTATTTTCTCTTGTACAGGAAATCAGTATTTGTTCAGCAAAACCAGTGCAACTAGAGGACATTCTCTGTGAGCCACAAGAAAAAGCAGACACCTCTGCCTGAGGTTTTCCCAAAATTTCAGCTCTGAACATCTGTCTTCCATTCCTGTTTCTTCTTTCTGGAAAACTCAACCTCTTTTCACTTAATGGCTGCTGGACTCCCTCAGAGAGAAGAGGGCACAAGAGCCCAGGACCTGCTTTGGTGACCTTGAGTCTTCACGTGGTCCCTGAGCCAATACATGCACTGGGGATTCCGGACACAGGGTAATATCACTTCCACTCACGTCATCCCACCCATCAGAGTGAAAATGCAGGATTCAGGGTCCCCCACCCCCACCCCCACCCCATCCCTGAGCTGTTTCCAGCTCACTGCTCATTTCTCAGTTAAACTCAGGATGAGGGTCGCTCCGTCAGAGTCAGTGCTGCAGCTTCACAAATCCGATAATGGTCCTCGCACCGGACATCATTCCAGTTGTGTATTTCTGGCATTGTGTGGATCACACCACACTTCTCAGCCTCCACATTACTAGGTTCTTTTTCCCGCCAGAACCTGAGACAAAGACAGACATGTTATTCTCCAGTGTACCTTGTAGAGCACTGCTGGAACAGACCACAGCAGGACGCAAGGCTTGGAGCGGAGAGAGAAAAAATCCAGATGCTGATTCATGGACTAAAACAGTGCTTTTCCTCCCCCTCTGCTATCCCACTGGCAACAGTCTTATGGGGAAACCTGCCTTCTTCCTACAGCCAGCACAACAGGGCCCTGCTCGGTCCTACTCAGGGGAACGGCTCACCACCACTCACCCCATGCCCTTCACACCCAGAAGATGCATGTGTCTGCCTCCAAGGCAAGTTTGTCCTCCCGGGGGACACACAGCAAGGACAGCCTTGCTGATCCCTCCCCATCTCTCCCACAGCGTCACACCACTGGCCGTGCCTGTGCACACATGTCCACGTATACATGGTGGGGGCTGTATGGAGGTCAGGCAAGGCTGGTCATCTCTGAGGGGTTCTTCCTGCTGTGAGAGGCAGCTTCATCTGTGACTACAGCACTGATGGCCACATCACAGGCAGTTAATTAACAACCACTAACCAGCATGGATGGGGCTATGTGAACCTGCTGTCTGTACACAACCCACTCCTGCTCTGTCCTCTCACAGGGAGTTGTCTCACCTCTCTCTCATGCACCAATAGACACCCTCACATCTCTCCTACTCTCTCGCACCAAATACTCTCTACCCGCGGATACTCACGCTGCCGTCTTATTAAACGGAGTCTGGTCCAACCACTGCCACTGGCCCACCTCCTCTGCATGCAGACCGATGTAGAAATTAATGCTTCTGGCAGCCTGTTTTAGCATGTTATGGAGGAAAGCCTGGAAATCAGGGAGAGTGCAATGTCCATGAGGTGCAGGACTGAGCAGAGGGAGGTAACAGAAGTCCCTGTGGGGTGGTACTGGTGGCAGAGGGGAGCTGGTGCTGGAGGGGTGCAGGAGCAAGGAGGGGATCTGAGTCCCCTCCAAGACCTGGCATTGTGTCTCTGGCTGCTGTTCCCCTCCCTCAGCCCTGCACCTACCTGCTCTTCTTTGCTGTTGATCACCACCAGCTGGGAGCCCATCCCAGTGCAGTTCTGCACACTCTCAGTCCAGGGCATCGTATCAGTTGACTGATAATAGCAGCTTTTTTGAAAGAGTTTCCAGCCGTTTGGGCAGCAGATCCAGCCTTGCTCTGCGTAGGGAGAAACCACAGAGGTGAATGCTAGTAACAAGAGAGATGGTGGCTGCAAGGATCCCTGTTCTCAGGGACAATGCTCATGTTCTCTTTATATTGTTTTTCCTGACAGAAAAGGCTTGAATAAACGAGGTTAGTAGAGATATTTCTTCCCGTTGCTTTTGTCTACACAATTCTATGGTAATCCTTGTAACATGATCTCAGGTCTTGGCTTGACGAAGTTATTGTGGTGATCTGGTTTGATTTCTCTTTATATGCTCTCCTTTAGCCCTAGGAAACAGGGAATATTGCTTCCTTCCCTGACTAGAGCTGCACTTTTATTATTGCTCCCCTGCTAACCTTCCCTGTGCCGCTGTACAATGTCCCTTTTGTTTGATTATCAGAGTTCACAGCCCACTCTGCCTTCCAGGGCACCTTAACATGGTCCTCTCCTCCACCTGAGCTGGTAGCATGAAATCTTTTTTCTTCCCACCTCTCTCCTTTGGAGTCTGCCTCTCTGGAGTCTGGTCCCACTGCTGCTTGCTGTCAGAGCAGACCCCAGCATTCGTTGTCCCCATCCCAAAGACCTCCTGCACCCATGCCAGCACCTACTGACCTTCGCCTTGCAGCGCCGACAAGATGCAGTGGCACTCCGTGAATTTCTGCTGCAGGACTGTGTGCTGTGTACGGAAGAAGGGAGCAACTAGAAAGGGAGAGGAAAGGCAGCAGGATTACCCCTTCTTTGCAGCTCCCCACACACCATCTCTGGCCTTCACCCTTGTTTCCCCATTTCCCCACCAAGCACTGTCTCAGCACGGGCTCTCCTTGGGCTGCCTCTTACTGTTTCATAAGTGGTAACTGCCATCCTCTCAGCAAAGGGAACAGGCATTTCTTCTCCCAGCATCCCACAGCTGCCCACAAGGACTCCTCTGCCCACCAACTGACAAGATCTAGCTAGGACAACCTGGCCACCAAAGGCAGAGAAGCCTGCAATCCACCCAAGGAGTGCCTGGTGGCTGTAGCTAGCCTGTGGTTTGTCAGCAGAGCCTCTCCCAGCACTGAGCAGCTGACATCAGGCCCCTCCAGGTGCTGTGGAGCTGAAGGTGTGTGGTTAGCATATCCCGGGTCCATGACCCTGAGAAAACTAGCCCAAACAAGTGGTATGGCTGCCATCACAGGCAGAAAGAGACAATCTTCCATGCCAGAGAGCAGAAGAATCACTGGGAGGACATCACACTGAGGACATGCCAGAAAGGGTGCTATTGATTCCACCCAACCACAGGCATTTACCATGTAGATACCTACAGTCAAGCTGCCTGTCTAGATCTCTTTACAATCAGTGACTAAAAAGCAGCACTTCAGTGGCATAGTTAGTCTCTTCTTAAGCTAGACATCAACAATAGTCTGGATGAGTAACACTTCAGATGGGCCTATTTCATCAGCAATAAAGACAGTCTGGGTGAAGGTAATCAGACTCAGCTAGAGCTGCTGAAGCAAGGGAGGAAGGTAAACTTCTAGGACTTAATAGCCAGTTTACAGGGAATCATATAGAGTCAGTGACAAATGTCAGCAGGCCATATCCACAACCTGAAGGACTTATCACTAGCGCAAACACTCAGGGATATTAATTGGAAGCTGATCAGGCTGTGCTAAGTAATACAGATGTCTATTTTTATAAACCATTTCATGGAGAAATATTGTTATTAGTGAGGAGGGTAGAGTAATCATAGCAGCCCCTGTGCCTGATGAGTGAATTCCTATAATGAAAGAAGGCACAGAGAAGACGGGAAAGGGCAATGCATGGCTGACCTCCCCTGTTGCAAAGAAAGGTGACCTCATCTCAACACAAAGGGGACACTTTGTTGTAGCTGAGTTGAATGAATCAAGCTATATAACTCTTCATCCCTTTAAAAAATCAAAACCGGCAATGTCTTCCTAAGTTAGCCAGACCCGCATGGCCCAAAATAGTGTGAAAAACCTGAATGACTAACAAAAACATCTCTGAAGAAAGCAATGGGCCTCAGCTGGCTTTATCCACATATTCTTTCTGGGTCACTGGGGTCACCCAGGGTCTTGATGTTGAGCATATTGCAGAGACTAGTAATGAGAATCACATTTGTATTGTGAATTATGTGCATTGCAATTGCTACCCTCTGCTAAGTGCAATTTGTACTTGTCTTTTTACTTAAATACATTGTTGTTTCACTCAGGCCAAATTGGCCTACAATGGCGACAGATGCTCTCCCCCCACTTCTCACTCCCAGAAGAAAAGGAAGAGGGATAAAGAGATTCACAAGTTTAGAAGGAGCTAAACTACTTTAATGAAATATAAATAATAAAATAAAAATGAACTAATGAAATAGATGCAATATATACAAAACCATATCAAGTTCTCAGGATGACATCACCAGCAGGCACTGGGGGACTGGACTCAGTGATGGATGGGAATTGGGTTCCAGCTCTGGAGTCAGGAACACAGGGATCAGGATCAAAGGCAGATGAACTGACAGGGTCCTCTTTGGACATCGGACACTGAGGAAAGAGGCCTGACCCTTTGGTCCCTCAGCTTTTATACTGATGGGATGGAATACCCTGTTGGTCAGGTTTGGGTCACCTCTCCTGTTCCCTCCTCCCTGCAGGGGGGACCCCTCTACGCTTTTCTGTTTCCAACCCTCCAATGGGGCAAATAATGAAATTAGCTGACCTTGGTTTTTATAGCAATATGTGTAGGCAAGAGCCTCTCTGCCTACCATTCCTTGGCATGAAGTACAAACATTGGTCTTATCAATCTAAAAGCAGACAGTTTTCTCCACAGTATGCTGTTACTTTCAGTGTCAGAAGAGGCCTAGCTAAGACATAAAATTACTGAACAGAAAGTTGTTTCTCTCTTACCTCAAACCAGGACACCTCTGTAACAGCAAAAGTACATTTCCCATTAAAGATTAAACTTTGCATGTGTTGAATAGCTAAAAGAACAGCTATTGAAGCGATTGAAAGACAGCATCAGACTCTAACAGCCTACCCTAAACCTCCCCAACCATTTAACAGAGTATTGTGAAAAGTTATACATTTGAGAACAAAGCAATACAAACTTCTAGGACTTGGGAACTAATGACAGCCCCAAAAAAGGCAACAATTTAGCCTGACAACATGCCTTCTTCCAGAATCCATCATCTTTAGTGGCAATTTGTGCAAACATGCCATGAATGATCCTTAGCAGAAAACGAGAATGAAACAGTGATCACAATCTCCACAAACTTCATGTGCAAGAGTCACTTTTCATTAATTATTCTAGTAGAATGCAGTTAACCCTAAAAATATGTGAGAGCTTGCACTGTGCAGTTAATCCTGAAGATGCCAGGACTAATTGTAAGAAACTGTTTTTTCCTTTAGGACATGGAGTATGTCAAAGCACTTAGAGAGCTCAAGTGCAGGTCCAACTGTCTGTATAGGCACTTGTGCTGCCATCTCTAGGCTTTTTTTGAGCCCAAATGTTGGCACTTGCCAACATTTCTCTTCAGCATTGCGTTTCTCACAACAAAACAGTTTCTGAGTAAAAGCTCCCTTTTGTTTGGAAGATGTTCTCTGCTCGGCTCTGACTTCTCCACTTTCCTCCCAGCATTTCTCCTAGACCTCCCTCCTGTAACCAGCCCGCACATACTCACCAAGGAGAGCAACAAGGACAAGGCACACCAAGAAGAGCAGCAGTGAGATCACCCATGGGAGCCAAGGAGGGTATTTCTGGGGATGGTGCTCCTGTTTCTTCGTCTCAGGAGGAACTACAAATGAAGGAACACACCAAACACAACAGCACAGTCAACTATGCTTCAGTCAGCCCACATAACAAGGATGTACCACTCAAGGGAAAGCTGCTCAAGAAAAAAAAAAAAAAAAAAAAAGAAAGCAAATTCAGTTCCAATGTAGAAGTTACATAGTTTGGGAGAGAGCAAGGGACCTCTGTAATTTCTGGAGAAAGTCAGGTTCAGTGACACTGTTCACAGCTCCAGCCCTGCTGGTGAGCTAGCAATGCTGCTTGCTGGTGTTTGGGGGTGATGTCTTCACATGGCCTCCAAATCTGGCGTGAAACCACGTCTTTCTAGACTGAGCCCAGAGCTGCCAAATTAAACATTGGTCTATCCATGATACTTGAGACATTCATATGAAGATTTCATGTTGCCTTCTCCCCAGAAAACTTTTTATGCCTGCTTTAGTTTCTTCTTAGCTTTTTGGACTTTCTGTGTAGAAGGTTGCTGTAAGCTTAATGAGGGCAGGAGACCAAAAATGTGCAAATTGATGGTGGCACAGAATCATTGGAAGAGAAAAAAAAAATTTTTCCCTTCCATTCTGATTTCCAAGCCAGGGTTTCAGAGATTTGATGTAATAAAATTAGGCTGTACTAGGCTGAATGCCTGGGGCTGTGTCCAGCAGGCTGAGTAAAGTATGCCACTCACATTCAGCCTTGTCAAGGGCCTGACTTTTTTGACTAGAGGGACACTGCCAGTACTGAGAAGGTTTGGGAGCAGGCTGGAGAACGGGTTGGTGGGAAGGAGAAGCAAACACTTGTTATGAGACTGTTCTAGGTTATGACAGGTACACAAGCCAGGGCAAACAGGAGGGTAAAGAGGCAGCACTGCTCACTGCATGACAGGAGCAAAGATGTTTTAAGAGAGACAGATATTAATGATAAGCTTTAGAGAGACCTTATTCGTTGTCAGCATGAAACTTCAAAGTCTGCCAGCAGCCACATGTGTCTGCCAGACATGCCTGGTGAACAAGACTTGCAGAAACCCGGGGAAGCTCTCTGAGTACTTCCCAAAAGCTTGGGGGAAGCTGCTACAGCAGGGTAAAAATCATCATCTTTTCTTATCAGAAAAGAAAACGTTCATAGACAGACAAAATCGGATTTCCCTGTCTAAATCATGTTTTTCTAGCCAGAGCTTTTGTCTGTAGTGAAGACAAGGACACGGTTCATGATCTGGAGCCCAGTCACTAATTTCAGACAGTAGATCTGACCAGTCCAAATGATTTTTTGGTGTGCTGCGTGTCCACAGATTCAACCTGTGCCCAGCCAGATTTGTGCATCCTACACTGACACCCAGGTGGCACAGAGAGCACTGCCAGTATGCATGCACCTCACCAGTATAACTGAAGTGCAATAGATTTTCTGCATACTCGATGGGTTAATCTCCCTGCAAAATGTTTCCTACAGTTGGTCTGCATGCTTGCAATGTGTCCAGCACTGTGATCACAATACAACAGACCTGATCAGCACACGTTGGTTCTTCAGCACATAATCCAACATCTCCTAGGCACACGCAACAAGTGCCGTGCAGCACAGATGCCTACGTTTCTACCTCAGAAATCCTGGTTGGAAATGCAGGAACTCTAACTGCACTGTGGTATGAAACCCATCTTGGTAGTCCCTGCCACCTCCTGACACAGTTTATTGGATTACCTGCTGACTTCTCCTCTCTACCTTTAAATGACTGACAATTTTGTTATCTCTAGAGCCCAACTAGAAGAGGCTACAGAATGAGAAAATCCAGGTGAACTTGGCCATTACCCACACGGAGTCTGCATGGCCAGAGTAACCACTCAGAAGGATGACAGAGCAGCAAGAGTCATGCACACACCCAAACCTACAGCAAGAGTTTGCCATCAGCAGCTCAAGCAAACATGGCTGGACCGTGTGTCTTTGGAATAGGTCATTGGGAACACAACAGGGAACTTCCACCACCCCCACCTCACCAGGATGGAAATGCTAGCTGTAACCAGAGCCAGCTAATCTTGGTGTATCAAAACCAGTGAGCTTTCAAGTCAGTCAGGAGTATGTATATTGTTTATTTCCATGACTCATGCCCCGTAGCAGGGAAGGAATAACCCGGAGCTGATACCTGCTCTGTTTGAGATTGTAAAACTGAGGTAAGCGGTAGATAGGCAATGTAATATCCTTAGCAGCAATAGTAATTATTTATTTATTCATTCATGCATTTACATAAACATACTTTCACCCCTCTGGAACTTGCTGTTGTGTACGGTCCTGTATCTAAGGGTGGAAGCAATGAGCCATACATGGAACATCTCTATGTGTTCCTACTTGTGGCATAATGACTACAGAATACATACCAGAACATGTCTTAAATTTGCACAAAGCCTAGTGAAGGCACCATTTTACAACCATGATTTTTAATAGCAATAAAAATTTATTTTTTTGGTGTGTTAATTATTTTTTCAGGAGTGATAGACATCAATCACAGAATTGGATCTTCCTCTTGATTGTAGATAATTATTCTTCTGTGTACTTTAGGGTGTTTCATTTAAGCCCTTTATTCCTTTTAACTTTTGGGTCTCTCTTCTCCAAAGACCATTTCTCAATCAAACAAGGACAATGAGACTATAAGCTTCTGCAGCCAGTGCCACCTCTCACGAAGATACAGAGGGCAACTGACTGCTCTACTGTAAGGAGGCATGTTGGTTCTCTACCCTGCTCTCTCCATAAGTGGGAATCTGTAGCCTCACTCTCTCAGAGGCAAGAGCAGTTGCAGCCAGGGCTTGGGCTTGTTTGTAGATATTTGCTGCCCTAGGAGTCCCTTCATCTTTGTGACAGATCAGATTGTTTTCAATAAACCATAATATCTATTGTTGATACTCAGTATTTGTAAAAAAATAACTCTCTCATCCAAGAGCAGATAACATACAGAGAGGCAACTACTGCCTGCATTGTACCAGGGCTAAGCACCCATCCCGGACCCTTTACCAGGGACTAAGGGAGCCCAAATACATTCCTCACTGAACGTTCACTTGAAACCTGTTTGTGCTCCCAATAGTCATCTTTTTCACATTGCAACTCCAACCACTTAATGATTCCCACCTCTCCTCTTGCAGACACTCCTTCACCCTCTTACTTCAAACCCTCTCCAGTCTCCTGCTCCCGTAACGGTAGACAACTCCTTTTTTTTTTCACCAATTTGTCAAGAACAGGAACCAAAGTCATGTCAGAAAAGCCTCCATGCCCTGCTTCTTCAGCCCTCCAAGTCCCATTCCCCTGAGTAAGCCACCCATTGCTTACCTTCAGCCACTGCAGCTGGTCGTGCATTCTTGAACTTCACCTCAGCGTAAGTGATTTCTGATGCCATTCAATCACAGCGTGATCACTGATCCCTGTCCTTAGTTTTGCTATGTAAAAGGTGGGTCTTTTTGGTCCCTGCTTCCAGAGGGAGACACAAATAAGTTACTGATCTTTTCCCACCTGCTCATCCACCTTCTGTCAAATTAGGCTGTGCTGAGCGCTGGAAGCACTGGCAATAACCTGAGAATTCCTGGGAACTCAGAAATCTCTGAACAGATCTTCAGTTTCTTACCCCAGGAAATCAGCCCCGGCACAAGGGAAACTTCTGAGAGAGAAAAGAAAAATGAGAACCTGACAACTGAAAAGGAAGTTGCACTCCTCTTTCCCCATATCATGGAAAAAAACAACAAAACAAAACAAACCCAACCTGATAGGTTTCCTTCTTAAGATCCCTTGGTTTTAGCTTTTTTCATCCTTCTTTCTTACCTCTCTCTCCTTCCCTTATCTTCATGCCTTTCTTTGTCAGTAATTCTGCCGTTGCCCTTAAGTTTAAAGCTGTCAAGCCAGGGTGCCCAGTTTAACCTGCAGCACAGCCCCATACGAAATACATTCTGCCTTCACTTGTCTCGTGAGGTTAAGCTGCATTTGCAACATCAAACATTGCATGCTGTGTCTCATGCTGGGAAGTCAGCTCCAGTTGGCAGCGAGCACAAGAACAACTCTCAAACAAGAAACTGTTCCTGTAGAAGTGAAACTGGGGAAACGCAGCCCTAGGCAGAGGAAAAGAAAGTTTGATATATCTAAGGACAAACAGAGAAGTTTGAGGCCAGGGCCAGGGAGAAGAACAAGCAAAGTGGAATAAAAAGAAAAAAAAAAGATGTTGATGATTTGAGAGGTTATTGTGAAGAGCACACACAAAGATGTCTCTATCACAACCTGATTTACAGCCTGTAGAAGTTCAGAGGAGTGCTTGCTTCAGGGAGTCAGGCTCCATTTCTGAGGCTGAAAAGACTTGGTTTGTATTTTTTTGCCCCAACACAATCATTTATTCCCCTTTTCTGCTTTTTGGTAAAGGCCTCTGATATTACCTTGGGTAAAATGTCTGGCTACTGTTTGGTCTGATTTCAAGCTGGGGCAGATGTTGAAAGGAGACAATTAAGGGAAATGGCTGCTGGGGTACATGCTGAAACAGAAAGACTTCTGAGAAAAAATGCCGCAATACCCTGGAGAAAAAGGGTGAGAAGGGTTCAGTCAGCAGATAGGACTATCATAGAATGGCTTGGGTTGGAAGGGACATTCTTTTAGTCCAGCCCCCCTGCCATCAGCAGGGACATCTTTCACTAGACCAGGTTGCTCAAAGCCCCATCCAATCTGGCCTTCAACACTTCCAATGATGGGGCATCCACAGCTTCTCTGGGCAACCTGTTCCAGTGCCTCACCACCCTCACCATAAAGAATTTATTCCTTATATCTAATCTAGACCCAGCTTCTTTCAGTTTAGAACGTTTGCCCCTTGTCCTGTGCTGGAAAAACATCTCTATCCTTCTTTCTTCTAGTATTGAAAAGCCACAATAAGGTCTCCAAAACAACCAGAAGGAAGAAGGATGAAGCTTTGCTTGGTTAGTTTGGCTAGGTCTTGTCTCCTCAAGGCAGACCAGAGCGAGATGCTAGCAGGACACATCCAGGGAGCTAGCACGGAGGGTACACAAGGCCTCCGTGAGTTGGTGAGATAGAACCCTGCAAGGAAGAACACACAGCAGAGGAAAACACTGTGGCAAGGCGGGGATGTGGCAAGCATCTGAACACAGATTATGAAGAACTGTCCCTAAACAGAATGGGGCATATGCAGCTGGATTTCTTTACCAAGGAGCCTCATGTCTCATGTGCATTGGAACCCAGCTGTGCCTTCAAATTTCATACTGAGACTTCGGTCAGAGTAATCCTCTGCATGCTCCCCCTCTGCCCCTGGCCAAGGAGGCCACGACAGACTCACAGTCTCATGGGGAAGAGGCTTACTTCCTGGTAGAGTTTCAAACTTTCCACTGTGAAGAAACAGGAAATATAATCAGCAGACAGAGAAGAAAGTCACAATTTAGCTTCATGAACTTTTTGCTACTGAAACACATCTCGAAACATTCGGGAGGCATTTCAAATGCAAATTCCGGATCTAGCTGCTGATTTTATTAGAGTACACTAGATTGCGCTCAAACATCAGGAGACAGCTCAATTCTTCCTTGTCCGCCATCAGGGTTGATGCTTGCTGTCAAAATTCAACCCTGAATCATACTTCCATAGGATACAATGCTGGGCTTTTGTGCAACAACGGTGAGGTGATACTCCTGAGGGTCAAATTTGAGGTCTGAATTTCATACGCCCTGATGGCATGTAAGTGGGTGGGAGATAGGGAGGATAAAACCCAGCGGTTAGTTGCAGAACTGAAAACAGGAAAAAAAAAAAAAACAACAACAAAAAGAAAAAAACAAACAAAAACCCCCAAAAAAACCAACTTAAAAGTTACACTTGGTTTCATTGCATTCCTACTGCTGTTCCTCAGTTCCTCCCTTTCCCCTCCAACTCTCCTCTGCCCACCCCGTGCTGCACACCCTTGTCCTCTCACAGTGTCCGTGTTTCCCCACAGACATCTTTCATCTCAGTCCCACTCAGTGCTGCCAGGTATGTCCCATGTTCCTAACTCCCGCATCCCTCACAAGCCCCAGCTCCTTCCTAGGACCCGTATGCTTGCTCGTCACAACGGTCCTGCTTTTGCCCCTTACTCACTCCCCAGCTGCTGCCTTTATGTGGCTGCTCTTCAAGCTGTGCCAGCTGCCTTCTGCTTGGGCCAGCTGGCACTGGTGCTGGCTGGTGGCTGATAGCTACCTGATGCTCGGTGGCACTAATGCTCTCTCTCCCCTAACTGTCAATGAAGTTTGAGTAAGGTAGTATCTGCAAGCCTCTCATCTCACAGCCGGTTTCACCCGATTTAGCAAGCAGAGGAGACAGCACCGTTCTCCGTGCCTTACTTCTTTTGAAAAATCAAGCTGAACCAGTTGAGTTAAAACTTAATCCTAAAGCTGTGACCCTGCACATTCCCAAAAAAAAGTCCCCTTTTGAAGTTGAGTACAGCTGTGATGGAGGCTGCAGGGAAGTGAGACGCTTATTGCAAGCCAATCAGAGTGGAGAGGGGCAGCGGAAGGAATTCAGTCGTCACAGGCGGCATGGAGGTTATCCAGGGACATCACATTGGCAGCCCCAAGGCAATACCTAGTACCTCTTTAGAAGACTTGACAAAAAGCAAAAGGAAGCTGACGTAGCTAAGGTGTCGAGCCAAACGAATAATCAGCATCCATTCTTCAACAAGCTGACCTTGCATCCAAATGAGGAAACCTGAAACAATCATAAGCTCCGTGAAGTGTAAAACGACAACAAAGCAGAAGTAAAAAAGAGTCTGAAAAACAACTAGCAGAAGCCATCAGAACTAGTAACAAATACTTTACTATGGATACTGAAAGCAGAAACCTTTTAACAAGCTTTGAGGACCCCCGAAGAGCAGCATATAAAAGAAGCAGTTGGAGAACAGAAACAATGTTGAAAAAATTAATTATTTGTTAACAGTGGAAGAAATTGGAGAAAATCCCATACAAGAACCCTGTTTTGTGGAGGACTAAACCAAAGGACCTGTCAAAAATAATAGTGATTGTGTAAAAGATATGGAAGGAGTAGGTCTGAGCGAGATAGTCCCAGGGGTTCCCAAGAAATTCAGGGGTGAAACAGTTGGTAATAGCAGTGGTTGGCCTCTGGCCTTAAACTGCCTTTTAATCAGCAAATTGCAGGATGGCAAAGAAGATATCAAAGAGGAGGGAGAGGAGAAGTCTAGGGAGATTTAAGAAGTTAAGGGTTTCACATCTCTAGTGGCCAAAAATATAATTAATGGACACATGTATAAGTATTATGTACTTGGGAAGGATTAATATAATTCTGGTAAGAATATCCTGCCTCTTGTAGTTCATTGAAGGGGTCAGTAATCATATGCATTAGAATAATCTAGCTACCTGGGAAGCTCCTCAGCAAACATTTCTAAGGAAATTGGGCAACCAAGGGATAAGAAGGCAGATCTTTTCACGGTAAGTAGATAGGAAAGGTGAGTAAGAATTAATGGTTAGTTTCCTCAGTGGAGGAAGGGCACCTACAGAACCCTACCAGGTCTCTAATAGGACATGCACTAACATTTCCTTAAACAATATGGCAAAGAGGAATGATACGACAAATTCTGCTAAAGATCCCAAGTTACTCAGGGCAGTTATTCAAGAGCCAGTTGCAAAGACCTGCAGAAGGGTAAGCCTGAGTAGCAGGGTCATAAAAAGACAGAGTCCTGTGTAGGTAAGCAATGCTCTTTAGGGAAATGGGTAACAAAGCAATATATGTTAGGAAAGTAACCATACCCTACTCGGCAAGTTCCTATTCTGATAACATTATGAATGGGGCAAAGCATCAAAGAACATCTTGTGTGCTTGCCCTGTTTTTATTCTCTAGGCGCTGACATCAGTATGGTCTTTCTTAGGTTATTTGTCCAAAGCATCTATCAGGTGGAGGTTGTTCAGGAGACAGTCGGGTGCTAAGAGCTCAGCTTGAGGTCGTGTAGCCAGCAGAGTGAAGGTTGTTGCTGATGTAGCGCTCATCCTCTGCGTGGGCTTCGCCTCCCCCAGCCAGCTGGACTGGCAGTGGGACAGCCTTTGGTACAAGGCTGTTCTGCTCTTCTGCCAGTTTTGGGGTCTCCCCCTGAGCACAGCCACAGGGAAGGCAGGTTGCTGAATTCTGGAAACAAAGGTGAGAGCAAGAAAGGCTGAGAGACAGAAATTAGGTGTGTGTGGGGAAATTTCTTTAGCCAAATTGTATTCTCTCTCCATTTACAGTAATTCGTGTAACTATTTATGATCGCTCAGCCTTATTGGGGTTTTGTTCAGTTTTATTCAGGAGCACTGATAGCACAAGACCTTCCCACAAGACCTTATTCAAGCAAAGCCCGAGCCCAGTCCTCTCATAAAACTCTCTGCTCTGATCTTACCTGAACCCTAGCTGCATCTTGATAGAAGAGTCCTGCCACCTGCTCATATGGCGCAGTCCTCCAGGTCACTCAGATAAAGACAGCCTAAATCCAACCCTGGCTTTTTGTCCCCACCACCTGGACGAGAAGAGCATCAGGAGTGAATGCATGCCACCCTTTTGGTGGAGAGCCACACCACCTTGCTCCTCTCCTTGGTATTAAGGCCATGGAGGCAATAAAGGGAGAGCAGAGCCCTTGCAGCCAAGGGAAGAACGTAAGAAGACACTGAAGAAGGGAGAATGGAGCTCCAAGGCCTGACCCTGAGCAGTTAGTAAGGGATGGCAGATACCTGATCAAAGGGATTAAGGCAGTGAGAGCTCCTTGAGAGCTCCTGAGGGATTTGGCTGGTTAGAGGAGATCTAGCAACAAGTAATCCCAATGTGTATCCTGCAGCAAGGGACTGGCTAGGGAAGGGAGGGGCAGGATGCTGCAGTTGTCACCACAGGAT